GCTATAATCACTGGCAATAATTGCATGAAAAACCTGACAGGTTAGTCATACCCAAATCGTAAAACATTCAAAATTGGCACAAACAGCCTTTCCATAGAGGGATCGAATCTCGGCATTTGCCTGCTGAACCGGAGGAGATTTGAACCATCTATGGCTGTTTTGGGCTTCAACGCTTCAACTCAAGACTCCAGTGATTGATAGATGTTCTTCCCTGCAAGATTGTGGTACCATTTTTAGCTTTTTAACACTATATTTAGAAATTCTGGCTTAATTTGTTTAGGGCCAAGAAGAGAGCATGCACTGTAATTATTATTATAACAATCACTTTGTCATATGATTCGCTAACATTCTTACATCATAGAAACTTCTTTTACTGCTGGAATGAAGAAATACCATCAGCTCTTGTTTAGATTTACAGACTAGAAACTGAGATAGTAGTGGAGGTAACACATTCCGTGAAAGAAGACCTATGGGATTAAACATGAATGGTAATCTTCACAGATAAGGCATTCCGCATCAAGGTGTCTAGGACTGATTGAGGTTTATTTGCTGCTATTCAGACAATAGAAGTTAAAGTGTATGTATAGGCGAAATGGTACATACATATCAGTGGTTTAACAATAGCTATAGAAACCCACAAGGCTGCTATGGGATGTGTGGGTGGAAGAGGGCCCCATTAAAGGGTTTTTTTGAATTAATCTAAACACAGAAAATCTGTGTGAATGTGAAGATAACACAGATGGAGCACTGTGTCAATAAGGATTGCAGAGGCTTGACAGTGTCCAAGTACCCTCATAACACTTCCAGTCAAGTAGAGATGACATCAGACATACAGAAAGAGATTTCAGAGATGTGTACTGGGGGTTTCCAGGGGGTAGAGATGTGTACTGGGGGGGTTGGAGAGGGGAGAGGTGTATACATGGAGACTTGGAGGGGGGGAGAGATGTGTACTGGGGAGTTGGAGAGGACAAAGATTTGTACTAGTGGTTTGGAGGGGGCAGAGATGTGTACTGGTTGTTTGGAGGGGTCAGATATCTGTACTGTGAGGGTTGGAGGGGGGAGAGATGTATAATGGGAATTGGAGAGGAAAAAGATGTGTACTAGTGGTTTGGAGGGAGCACAGATGTGTAATGGGAGGGTTGAGAAGGGGAGAGATGTGTACTGGGGCTTGGAGAGGACAAAATGTGTACTAGTGGTTGGGAGGGTGCAGAGATGTGTACTGAGGAGTTGGAGAGGGTAGATATTTGTAATGGTTGTTTGGAGGGGGCAGATATATGTACTGAGAGGGTTTGAGGAGGATAGATGTGTACAGGGGTGGGTTGGAGAGGACAAAGATTTATACTAGTGGTTTGGAGGGGGAAGAGATGTGTACTGGGGAGTTCGAGGGGGCAGAGATGTGTACTGGGAGGGTTGGAGCGGGTAGAGATGTATACATGGAGGGTTGGAGGGATGGGAGAGAAGTGTACTGGGGAGTTGGAGAGGACAAAGATTTGTACTAGTGGTTTGGAGGAGGCAGAGATGTGTACTGGGGAGTTGGAGGGATCAGAGATTTGTACTGGTTGTTTGGAGGGGTCAGAGATGTGTACTAGGAGGGTTGGAGGGGGGAGAGATGAGTACTGGGAGCTTGGAGAGGACAAAGATGTATACTAGTGGTTTGGAGGGGACAGATATGTGTATTTGGAGGGTTGAGAAGGGGGGAGAGATGTGTTCTGGGGATTGGAGAGGACAAAGATGTGTACTAGAGGTTTGGAGGGGACAGAGGTGTTTACTGGGGAGTTGGAGAGGGCATAGATTTGTACTGGTTGTTTTGAAGGGGCAGAGATGTGTACTGGGAGGGTTAGAGGGGGTAGAGATGTGTACTGGGGGTTGGAGAGGGCAAAGATATGTACTAGTGGTTTGGAGGGGGCACAGATGTGTACTGGGAGGGTTGAGAAGGACAGAGATGTGTACTAGGAGGTTGGAGAGGACAAAGATGTGTACTAGTGGTTTGGAGGGTGCAGAGATGTGTACTGGGCAGCTGGGGGGGGGGGGCAGATATTTGTACTGGTTGTTTGGAGGGTCAGAGATGTGTACTAGGAGGGTTGAGAAGGGGAGAGATGTGTACTGGGGGTTAGAGAGGACAAAGATATGTACTAGTGGTTTGGAGGGGGCAGAGAAGTGTACTGGGGAGTTGGAGAGGGCAGAGATTTGTACTGGTTGTTTGGAGGGGGGTAGAAATGTGTACTGGGAGCTTGGAGAGGACAAAGATGTGTACTAGTGGTTTGGAGGGGACAGAGATGTGTACTGGGAGGGTTGAGAAGGGGAGAGATGTGTTCTGGGGATTGGAGAGGACAAAGATGTGTACTAGTGGTGTGGAGGGGACAGAGATGTGTACTGGGGAGTTGGAGATGGCATAGATTTTTACTGGTTTGTTTGGAAGGGGCAGAGATGTGTACTGGGAGGGTTAGAGGGGGTAGAGATGTGTACGGGGGTTGGAGAGGACAAAGATATGTACTAGTGGTTTGGATGGAGCACAGATGTGTACTGGGAGGGTTAAGAAGGGGAGAGATGTGTACTGGGGGTTGGAGAGGACAAAGATGTGTACTAGTGGATTGTAGGGGGCAGGGATGTGTACTGGGGAGCTGCAGAGGGCAGAGATTTGTACTCATTGTTTGGCGGGGGCAGAGATGTGTACTGTGAGGGTTGGAGGGGGTAGAGATGTGTACTGGGAGGGTTGAGAAAGGGAGAGATGTGTACTTGGGGTGGGAGAGATGTGTACTAGGGATTGGAGAGGACGAAGATGTATACTAGTGGTTGGGAGGGCGCACATATGTGTACTGAGGAGCTGGAGAGGGCAGAGATTTGTAATGGTTGTTTGGAGGGGGCAGAGATATGTACTGAGAGGGTTGGAGAGGGAGAGATGTGTACTAGGGTGGTTGGAGTGGACAAAGATCTGTACTAGTGGTTTTGAGGGGGCAGGGATGTGTACTGGGAGGGTTGGGAAGGGGAGAGATGTGTTCTGGGGGTTAGAGAGGACAAAGATCTGTACTAGTGGTTTGGAGGGGGCAGGGATGTGTACTGGGGAGTTGGGGAGGGAAGAAATTTGTAATGGTTCTTTGGAGGGGTCAGAGATGTGTACTGGGGAGTTGGAGGGGGCAGAGATGTGTACTGGGGGTTGGAGAGGGCAGATATTTGTACTGGTTGTTTGGAGGGGGCAGAGATGTGTACTGGGAGGGTTGGAGGGGGGTAGAGATATGTACTGGGTGGTTGGAGTGGACAAAGATGTGTACTAGTGGTTTTGAGGGGGCAGGGATGTGTACTGGGAGGGTTGGGAAGGGGAGAGATGTGTACTGGGGGGTTAGAGAGGACAAAGATCTGTACTAGTGGTTTGGAGGGGGCAGGGATGTGTACTGGGGAGTTGGGGAGGGCAGAAATTTGTAATGGTTCTATGGAGGGGTCAGAGATGTGTACTGGGGAGTTGGAGGGGGCAGAGATGTGTACTGGGGGTTGGAGAGGGCAGATATTTGTACTGGTTGTTTGGAGGGGGCACAAATGTGTACTGAGAGGGTTGAGAAGGGGAGGATGTGTACTAGGAGGGTTGAGAAGGGGAAAGATGTGTACTGGGTGTTGGAGAGGACAAATATATGTACTAGTAGTTTGGAGGGGGCACAGATGTGTACTGGGAGGGTTGAGAGGGGGAGAGATGTGTACTGGGGGTTGGAGAGGACAAAGATGTATACTATTGGTTTGGAGGGGACAGAGATGTGTACTGGGGAGTTGTAGAGGGCAGAGATTTGTACTGGTTGTTTGGAGGGGGCACAGATGTGTACTGGGGGGTTGGAGGGGGTAGAGATGTGTACTGGGGGGTCGGAGAGGACAAAGATATGTACTAGTGGTTTGGAGGAGAACATATGTGTACTGGGAGGTTTGAGAAGGGGAGAGATGTGTACTAGGAGGGTTGAGAAGGGGAAAGATGTGTACTGGGGTTTGGAGAGGGCAAAGATATGTACTAGTGGTTTGGAGGGTGCAGAGATGTGTACTGGGCAGCTGGGGGGGGCAGATATTTGTGCTGGTTGTTTGGAGGTGTCAGAGATGTGTACTGGGAGGGTTGGGAAGGGGAGAGATGTGTATTGGGGGTTAGAGAGGACAAAGATATGTACTAGTGGTTTGGAGGGGGCAGAGAAGTGTACTTGGGAGTTGGAGAGGGCAGAGATTTGTACTGGTTGTTTGGAGGGGGTAGAAATGTGTACTGGTAGCTTGGAGAGGACAAAGATGTGTACTAGTGGTTCGAAGGGGACAGAGATGTGTACTGGGAGGGTTGAGAAGGGGAGAGATGTGTTCTGGGGATTGGAGAGGACAAAGATGTGTACTAGTGGTGTGGAGGGGACAGAGATGTGTACTGGGGAGTTGGAGATGGCATAGATTTGTACTGGTTGCTTGGAAGGGGCAGAGATGTGTACTGGGAGGGTTAGAGGGGGTAGAGATGTGTACTGGGGGTTGGAGAGGGCAAAGATATGTACTAGTGGTTTTGGAGGGGGCACAGATGTGTACTGGGAGGGTTGAGAATGAGAGAGATGTGTACTGGGAGGTTGCATAGGACAAAGATGTGTACTAGTGGTTTGGAGGGTGCAGAGATTCTGTTTGTACTGGTTGTATGGTTGGGAGGGGGCAGAGATGTGTACTGTTGGAGAGGGCAGTCACTGGGTTTCCCTGTAGATGTCCGCAGTCTCTGGTCAGGACCCTGTATGTCCGCAGTCTCTGGTCACCCTGTACTGGAAGAGAGGTTCCGCATGTCTAGGGGGTCAGGGACAAAGATGTGTACTGGGGTTGTCCGCAAACTGGTCATGTCCTACTATGTGTCAGGGTTCTCCTGCAGATCTCCTGTACTGTTCCGCAGTCTCTGGTCATCCCTGTAAAGGGGAGTTGTCCGCAGTCTCTGAGTCATCCCTGTACTGGAGAGGGCAGTCTCTGTCATCCAGGGTACTGCGGGTCCGCAGTCTCTGTCATCTAATAGTGTGTACTGTCCGCAGTCTCTGGTCATCCCTGTACTGTGTCCGCAGTCTCTGGTCATCACTGTACTGTCCGCAGCGTCTCTGGTCATCGCCTGTACTGTCCTGCAGTCTCTGGTCATCCCTGTACTGAAGCCGCAGTCTCTGGTCATCAGCCTGTACTGGATAAAGGACTGGGTAAGATAAAAAAAAAAAATCGGCAGTCACTGTGTCGGAAGTAAGAGCGGGTATCCTGTACTTCAGGTCCGCAGTCCTCTGGTCATCCCTGTACTGTACTGTCCGCAGTCTCTGGTCATCCCTGTACTGTCCGCAGTCTCTGGTCATCCCTGCTGTCCGCAGTCTCTGGTCATCCCTGTACTGTGTCCGCAGTCTCTGGTCATCCCTGTACTGTCCGCAGTCTCTGGTCATCTCCTGTACTGTCCGCAGTCTCTGGTCATCCCTGTACTGTGTCCGCAGTCTCTGGTCATCCCTGTACTGTGTCCGCAGTCTCTGGTCATCCCTGTACTGTCCGCAGTCTCTGGTCATCTCCTGTACTGTGTCCGCAGTCTCTGGTCATCCCTGTACTGTGTCCGCAGTCTCTGGTCTCTGGTCTCCTGTACTGTGTCCGCAGTCTCTGGTCATCCCTGTACTGTGTCCGCAGTCTCTGGTCATCCCTGTACTGTGTCGCAGTCTCTGGTCATCCCTGTACTATGTCCGCAGTCTCTGGTCATCCCTGTACTGTGTCCGCAGTCTCTGGTCATCTCCTGTACTGTGTCCGCAGTCTCTGGTCATCCCTGTACTGTCCGCAGTCTCTGGTCATCCCTGTACTGTGTCCGCAGTCTCTCGGTCATCTCTGGTCATCCCTGTACTGTGTCCGCAGTCTCTGGTCATCCCTGTACTGTCCGCAGTCTCTGGTCATCCCTGTACTGTCCGCAGTCTCTGGTCATCCCTGTACTGTGTCCAGTCTCTGTCATCTCCTGTACTGTCCGCAGTCTCTGGTCATCTCCTGTACTGTGTCTGGTCCGCAGTCTCTGGTCATCTCCTGTACTGTCCGCAGTCCGCAGCAGTCTCTGGTCATCTCCTGTACTGTGTCCGCAGTCTCTGGTCATCCCTGTACTGTGTCCGCAGTCTCTGGTCATCCCTGTACTGTCCGCAGTCTCTGGTCATCTCCTGTACTGTCCGCAGTCTCTGGTCATCCCTGTACTGTCCGCAGTCTCTGGTCATCCCTGTACTGTGTCCGCAGTCTCTGGTCATCCCTGTACTGTGTCCGCAGTCTCTGGTCATCCCTGTACTGTGTCGCAGTCTCTGGTCATCTCCTGTACTGTGTCCGCAGTCTCTGGTCATCCCTGTACTGTGTCCGCAGTCTCTGGTCATCCCTGTACTGGTCATCCCTGTCTGTGCAGTCTCTGGTCATCCGCAGTCTCTGTGTACTGTCCGCAGTCTCTGGTCATCCCTGTACTGTGTCCGCAGTCTCTGGTCATCCCCTGTACTGTCCGCAGTCTCTGGTCATCCTGTACTGTGTCCGCAGTCTCTGGTCATCTCCTGTACTGTGTCCGCAGTCTGTACTGTGGTCATTCCCTGTACTGTGTCCGCAGTCTCTGGTCATCTCCTGTACTGTGTCCGCAGTCTCTGGTCATCCCTGTACTGTGTCCGCAGTCTCTGGTCATCCCTGTACTGTGTCCGCAGTCTCTGGTCATCCCTGTACTGTCCGCAGTCTCTGGTCATCCCTGTACTGTGTCCGCAGTCTCTCATCTCCTGGTCATCCCTGTATCCCTGTGTCCGCAGTCTCTGGTCATCCCTGTACTGTCCCCAGTCTCTGGTCATCTCCTGTACTGTCCGCAGTCTCTGGTCATCCCTGTACTGTACCCGCAGTCTCTGGTCATCCCTGTACTGTGTCCGCAGTCTCTGGTCATCTCCTGTACTGTCCGCAGTCTCTGGTCATCCCTGTACTGTCATCCCCGTTCCCCAGTCTCTGGTCATCCCTGTACTGTCCGCAGTCTCTGGTCATCTCCTGTACTGTGTCCGCAGTCTCTGGTCATCCCTGTACTGTGTCCGCAGTCTCTGGTCATCCCTGTACTGTGTCCGCAGTCTCTGGTCATCCCTGTACTGTGTCCTGGTCATCCCTGTAGTCCGCTCTGGTCATCCCTGTACTGTCCGCAGTCTCTGGTCATCCCTGTACTGTCCGTCTCTGGTCATCCCTGTACTGTGTCTGTACTGTCCGCAGTCTCTGGTCATCCCTGTACTGTCCGCAGTCTCTGGTCATCCCTGTACTGTCCGCAGTCTGGTCATCCTCTGTCATCCCTGTCTGTCGCAGTCTCTGGTCATCTCCTGTACTGTGTCCGCAGTCCCTCTGGTCATCCCTGTACTGTGTCCGCAGTCTACTGGTCATCCCTGTACTGTGTCCGCAGTCTCTGGTCATCCCTGTACTGTCCGCAGTCTCTGGTCATCCCTGTACTGTGTCCGCAGTCTCTGGTCATCCCTGTACTGTGTCCGCAGTCTCTGGTCATCCCTGTACTGTCCGCAGTCTCTGGTCATCCCTGTACTGTTAATTAGTTTGCACTACTGTACGAGTTGTTTTTTCTAAACCAAAAGCTCGATATTCAGGTTTCATTGCAGTGTTGGCACTTTGAAAGAAATAATAAGTTGGTTTTGGGTTGCAGTTTGGGCACTCGGGCTCAAAAAGGTTCGCCATCACTGTACTAGTGGTTTGGAGGGGGCACAGATGTATACTGGGAGGGTTGAGAGGGGGAGAGATGTGTACTGGGGGTTGGAGAGGACAAAGATGTATACTAGTGGTTTGGAGGGGAAAGAGATGTCTACTTGGGAGTTGTAGAGGGCAGAGATTTGTACTGGTTGTTTGGAGGGGGCACAGATGTGTACTGGGGGGGGGGGGTTGGAGGGGGTAGAGATAGAGATGTGTACTGGGGGGTCAGAGAGGACAAAGATATGTACTAGTGGTTTGGAGGAGAACATATGTGTACTGGGAGGGTTGAGAAGGGGAGAGATGTGTACTAGGAGGGTTGAGAAGGGGAAAGATGTGTACTGGGGGTTTGAGAGGACAAAGATATGTACTAGTGGTTCGGAGGGGGCAGAGATGTGTACTGGGAGGGTTGGGAAGGGGAGAGATATGTACTGGGGGTTGGAGAGGACAAAGATGTGTACTAGTGGTTTGGAAGGGGCAGATATGTGTACTGGGGAGTTGGAGAGGGCAGAAATTTGTACTGGTTGTTTGGAAGGGTCAGAGATGTGTACAGGGAGGGTTGGAGGGGGGAGAGATGTGTACTGGGTTGTTGGAGAGGACAAAGATGTGTACTAGCGGTTTGGAGGGGACAGAGATGTGTACTGGGGAGTTGGAGAGGACAAAGATGTGTACTAGTGGTTTGGGGGGCAGAGATGTGTACTGAGGAGTTGGAGAGGGGAGAGATGAGTACTGGGGAGTTGGAGAGGGGAGAGATGTGCACTGGGGAGTTGGAGAGGGCAGAGATGTGCACTGGGGGTTTGGAAGAGGCAGAGATGTGTACTGGGGAGTTGGAGAGGGCAGAGATGTGTACTGAGGAGTTGGAGAGGGCAGAGATGAGTACTGAGGAGTTGGAGAGGGCAGAGATGAGTACTGGGGGTTTGGAAGAGGCAGAGATGTGCACTGGGGAGTTGGAGAGGGCAGAGATGTGCACTGGGGGTTTGGCAGAGATGTGTAGGTTGGAGAGGGCAGAGATGTGTACTGTGGAGTTGGAGAGGGCAGAGATGTGTACTGAGGAGTTGGAGAGGGCAGAGATGTGTACTGAGGAGTTGGAGAGGGCAGAGATGAGTACTGGGGAGTTGGAGAGGGGAGAGATGTGCACTGGGGAGTTGGAGAGGGCAGAGATGTGCACTGGGGGTTTGGAAGAGGCAGAGATGTGTACTGGGGAGTTGGAGAGGGCAGAGATGTGTGCTGGGGGTTTGGAAGAGGCAGAGATGTGTACTGGGAGGGTTGAAAGGGGGAGAGATATGTACTGGAGAGGACAAGAAAGAGAAGAAAGGAACAAAGAAAAAAAGAAACACTGTCTGAACTACCCTCTTCATGAAAACAAGACATGAATATACCATATAACACTTTCAGATTGACTCTTCATAAACAACTAGTAAAAAGAGGAACAAATGTGAAGTTTCCTACAGTGCCCAGTGAGGTTTCCCATAAAAAAAACCCAGCTGCAAGTTGATTGGCCAGCCAACAGTCCCACTTCTGTTCCAATTCCTCCAGCTTTTCATTTTCATAAACAGCCTTTTATAGGTCGGGGGGAGGCAGAAGGTGTGGTGGCTGGCTGCTGTTGCGCTTGTGCCGCTAGAGGGCGCTGCGCCGAGCGGTTGATAGGCTGGAAGGCTGGGCACGGGAGAGTCCGGCACACCCTGTACTGTGCGGAGGAGTTCTCTGTCTGTTCGGAGGAGTTTTCTGTCTGTCCAAAAAGTTCTTCACTCTTCTCCGCGACCGAACTCCGGCACCATGCCTGTCAAAGGAGGGACCAAGTGCATCAAATATCTGCTCTTCGCCTTCAACTTCATCTTCTGGGTGAGTGTGCGGGCTGTGTGCGATCCCGGAGGCAGAGGAGGAGGTGTGAGCGCTGGCATGGACGGGGACGGCGGGCTGTGCGGGGCTGGGAGGCAGTATTCCCTCCATAGAGGAGAGCGGAGGATGGAGGTTTAGTTGCTGCCCCCATAGAGGAGAGCGGAGGGTGGGGGTTCAGTGCTGCCCCCATAGAGGAGAGCGGAGGGTGGGGGCTCGGTGCAGCCCCCATAGAGGAGAACGGAGGGGGGGGCCGGTGCTGCCCCCATAGAGGAGAACGGAGGGTGGGGGCCGGTGCTGCCCCCATAGAAGAGAGCGGAGGGTGGGGGCCTGGTGCTGCCCCCATAGAGGAGAGCGGAGGGTAGGGGCTCCGGTGCTGCTCCCATAGAGGAGAGCGGAGGGTAGGGGCTCCGGTGCTGCCCCCATAGAGGAGAGCGGAGGGTAGGGGCTCCGGTGCTGCCCCCATAGAGGAGAGCGGAGGGTAGGGGCTCCGGTGCTGCCCCCATAGAGGAGAGCGGAGGGTAGGGGCTCCGGTGCTGCCCCCATAGAGGAGAGCGGAGGGTAGGGGCTCCGGTGCTGCCCCCATAGAGGAGGGTAGGGGCTCCGGTGCTGCCCCCATAGAGGAGGGTAGGGGCTCCGGTGCTGCCCCCATAGAGGAGGGTAGGGGCTCCGGTGCTGCCCCCATAGAGGAGGGTAGGGGCTCCGGTGCTGCCCCCATAGAGGAGGGTAGGGGCTCCGGTGCTGCCCCCATAGAGGAGAGCGGAGGGTAGCCCCCATAGAGGAGAGCGGAGGGTAGGGGCTCCGGTGCTGCCCCCATAGAGGAGAGCGGAGGGTAGGGGCTCCGGTGCTGCCCCCCATAGAGGAGAGCGGAGGGTAGGGGCTCCGGTGCTGCCCCCATAGAGGAGGGTAGGGGCTCCGGTGCTGCCCCCATAGAGGAGGGTAGGGGCTCCGG